TTCGTCTGTCCGCATTCAATTTGCCTGGGCTTCACCTTGATGTACGATTTTGAGAGTCCCTTCCACCCGTTTTCGATTTTGGCGCAGCGGCTAAAGCGACATGATGGCAAGCGATATGTTATCATCGACAACGCATGCAACATCCAAAACTACTGCATGCTTCGTGAGCCTTGGATTTTCCGCAACATTTGGTTTCTCGTTGACTGTTTACACTACTCTAATCACAAAAATTGCTCGAGGTGTACACATTCTACAATGCCTAGCTAATCTCAATATTGTAGTGGCTACTGCATCGATAATTTCCCACAACTTGAGAAGATCTCAAGTGTCCTAGCGGAGGTTTACAACTCTCAACTGTCCTCCATCGTGGGGAGCTGTGGCTACATGGCCAAGGGCAATTTCATGCTGTACACGAAGCATTACATGACCAACATTAACAAAGGACGTTTGGCGAGTATTAAAAAGGCGGTGAAAACGAGAAGCAGCCATGAAGCGGCCATCTGGGAGGATGTCAATGCATTCATATCGAAGATACAAGCCAACGTAATTCACCGCACCACAGAAGTGCCATGCAGCCCCAACAAGAAATGCGATCTATGCTCACAGTAGCACACTAAGAGTGCTTACAATGGCCACATCCGCACAGTTTTTCATGCTCGATAACTTCAAAATAGCAGTCTTTGGACGCTGCGAAACATCAGAGTAAATACGAAGCAATACTTTCACAAATACTGCTAGTACAGTGCACCATACCTCGCTAACCTCAACCACTACATACTGTAATAGTACATCTTTGGAAAGCAGGAAAATGAATGAAATTTACATATGTGACGGTCGCCTTAATCGATAACAAAGCATAAACATCATGGATAAGCTAGCATAGGATATACTTCACATCATTCGGCAGCACATTATAGCGACACTTGATATGATACCACTACTACGTCCAAAATACGATTGCATGCATCAATCCACGCCAACACGAATTAACACTGAACGGTACTAGAAATACGCTAAGTACTACAACAACTATTATCTCTCAAGGCCGACCAGCCCATGTGCGTCGCATGTCGCCGCCAAACTCACCTAGAATAGGAGCACAATCAAACAAAGATCGCGACACCCCTAGTCAGACTTGCTTAGTGATGGCGACTAGTCTTACTTTGGTTACCTTGCGCCCCATAAGGCCACTCCCACCAAGGTCATTGTCATCAAGCGGCTTTAACTCGCTCAAAATTATAAACACGACCTCCGCTACGCTGCGGTGCGCGCAATTTTGTGGGCGGGTCGCTCGCTACTGTAAGGCTTGGTCGTTGTTGGAAAAAACTGTTGGGGAAAAATCAAAGTAAAACTTGGGACTCGAACCCTCAACCTCCCGGTTTCATCCCATTACTGAAACCACTCGCCCAAATCGGCACTATTGATAATGACTGATTTGTGTGATTTACGTAATAAAATACATTACATTAATCCCTAATCCGTACAGTGGGACTGAGGAAGCTGTTGTCATCTACTTCGTAGTACACGACTTACGCAATATAGAGTGATGTCTTACAACGATTCACTTGGCTATTCCCCACCATTACATAGCGTCATGCCTATCGCGCAATTCCTTTCAACGTTCGACCAAACGCCACTCGGGTAATCAGTAATCAATCGTGATTGGTTGGTTCTATTCTCGATTTCTATTGGTTGGACGTTTCTATCGATGATCCCTCTTGGTTGGAATTTTCTCTCGATCTCTATTGGCTTGAATTGGTTGGAATTGTTTCTCGCTCGCTATTGGTTAGAATCACTTTCCAGTTACTATTGGTTGAAATACAAATACGTGAGACACTTATCTGATTGACAGATGTAGTATATCCCACTATCCACAGCTGATATTATACGTTTTTGACGGCGACAATGAGGTCAAATCCAGACTC